GTACCGCTTCACAAGCAGAGCTAGGCACAGCTACTTCTCAGGAAGTAGCAAGATGTACTAGCCGACTGAGAGAGGAAAAGAGCAGTAATCGTAGTAGGTATTAAGGAGCAAATAGCGACCAGTCCAGGGGAGAGGAAAGATATGGACAAAGTCCCAGTTAAAGAGATCCTTGAAGGGTTACAGATTGAGAGGGAAGAACAGAATATAGAAAAGGTATTCAGGCTTGGCCAGTACAACAAGGATAGAGACTGGTTGATGAAAGTGGTTTTCAAAAGCAAGGACACAAAAGAAGAAATTTTTAGCAAGGAAGAGCAGCCTATTCAATGTAACAAAGTTCAAAATGGTATTCCTGCAGAGGGATATGGCCAGGGAGGAGAGATTGAGGGCAGCAGTGAGGAAGAAGCTCATGGGGAGAGATACAGGAATATGGGAACCACAGCCCAGAACCCCTTCGATCCCAGATGGGAGTGGGGAACCCTCCACAGGCAGTTCAACAGCCCCGGTGGGAGGAGGATCAAACCCACCTCCCACTTAATAGAAGCCCTTCCTGCCCCAGCCCCCTGCAAGCCACCCACCAAGAGGCCACCTAGACCACCCTCCCTCCACTTCCCCCTCTCCTCAAGACCTCCCTTCTCCACGACCCCCAAAGTCCTCCCTATTCCCCTAAGATTTACTATAAAACCAGAAAACCGGCCAGCCTACTCATGAGAAACTCTCCAGACACAATGCAGAACGCTTTAATAGAGACCAACGTCGTCTATGCCTTCAAATGTGCTCTTGGGGACTGTAAGCCTCAAAAAACTCTGTATATAGGCAAGACAACAACATCTCTTTCCAGGCGTTTAACGATGCATAAGCAACAGGGCTCCATTAAGGAACATATAATCTCTTCCCACAACCAAACCATCACCAGAGAAATCTTAGCAAACAACACAGAAATCATAGATAGATACAGCGATAGCAGGCGGCTTGACATCTGTGAGGCACTACACATCAAGAAGTCAACACCAGCAATCAACAGCCAATTAATGCACAACTATATTCTACCCACTTCAAGACTCCGCTCCAATATAGAAGCATCAAGAAATATGGGCCAATACGCCCTTTGCAATTACTTCCATTCTTACCTTCAATACCCATTATTTCGTGTTCAGTCTTGTGTTGAAAGTTTGTTTTCACCTCATCCAAAACTGCTGTATGATATCACCTCACCCAAATGCAGGTATAAAAAATCGAAGATGTTTAAGCTCTATTCAGTTATAGTTTAGTTGTGTGTGTTTAAACTAAAGTCTTTGAAAATGTAATAAGTTTTACGAAACGCGCTCAAGTGTCGCGTCAGACTAGAAATAAAAATTAATTTTGGAGAATTGATTTTTCAATTACCATCAACAGTGAAAAGAAACTTAAGAAAGATCGAGAAAATTCGTGTTAGAATTATTAATCTTACTTTTTTGGTCATATTTAATAATATATATATATAAATATATATATATATATATATATATATATATATATATATATATATATATATATATATATATATATATATATATATATATATATATATATATATATATATATATATATATATATATATATATATATATATATATATATATATATATATATATATATATATATATATATATATATATATATATATATATATATATATATATATATATATATATATATATATATATATATATATATATATATATATATATATATATATATATATATATATATATAGGGGGGTACCACCACTGGTGCAATTATAGGGACCCACAGCCTCAGAGAAGCGAACACAGAGCATTCAGGGAAAAACTTGCCATTTAACTCTCAATACGTAAGAGTGTTCGCTTCTCCTACCACCCCCCTTTTTTATGGTGTACACTTTATTATGCAAGGTTATACAGTTACATATCTGATTTTATACAAAAAATTAACATTAAGAGGACACAAAAAAAAGTTCGCTTCCTAGAGGCTGTAGATTTCCTCGAACTCCTCCGACGCCGGGCATGAACCGAGGATGCAGTGAGCATTCCCCCTCTGGATCGCGACACTGAGGCGCTGAAAGAGAAAACTTGCTGCTCTAGGGTCTCTTGTGGTGTCAATGAGCTTGGAATCAAGATCCTTAAGAAACCTTCTTGCACTCTGTCCCCATGGGCCTAGGGTCTCAGACCCTATTGGAACGAAGTTGTACCGATGATCTAATTGCCTGTACTTGGCTGACTTGTCTCTTTCTCTGCGTGTCGCCGCGGCTCCTGCTGTGCCGGCAGAGAGGTTGATGTATGTGGTTGCCAGGGTGGATACACAAGTATAGTCCCATGCCAACTGTCTGCCACCCTTCCACGGTCGCAGTGTGATTCCGTCTGGTCGGCCGGCCAAGCTAACAGAGTCACGGTTCAGTAGGTTGCGGGGCTCTCTCTCCGCTGGACACTGAGCAGAGGCAAGGCTTCTTTTAATGATGTCATTGACTTCGTCGTGTCTAGTGTGCCAACCACCAGATTTTCCACAGTGCAGGCCATGCAGTCCATATTCGTCAGCATCTGCCTCGCCGCAAATACACCTATGAACAGTGTGGATAGGGGCAGCAAGACGGATAGCGACTGCAATACGGAGCTCCTGCGGATCAAGACGTGTGCCTGTCGCAGACATAGGGACTGCCAAAAGGAAGTCCCCTGCATGGGAAGCCTGCACAGCTGTGAGGCGTGCACGATCACTGGGGGTTGTTGCTGACTCCAGCAAAGCTGTGGCTTCTTTGTCTACAATGGGGCTGTCCCAACTGGATTGTTTCTTTGCTTTCGGCATGGCTGGTCTGAGTTCTGGGTCTGCCATGGCACCCCATTTCGTGTCGCATTCCGTGTAGTGGGGGTCCTGTATTCCCGCTACATCACTCAGGGTGTCAGGTAGAATTTCCTTAACCAGGTCATCTGATGCTGAGGAGGAAGACAAGAAGGCTGGGACAGCAATTTGGGTAGCAGTGCGGAGTACTGCTACCCAAGTAGCATTTGCTACTTGGAGTATTTGCCCAGTAGTATTTGCTACTAGTGCGGAGTACAGTACGGAGTACTGCAATATATATATATATATATATATATATATATATATATATATATATATATATATATATATATATATATATATATATATATAATATACTGTTCGAATGTTAATCTTTTTGTTTGATGAACTGTTCACTTGAGACAGTTAAACTAAGCACACGTCGATATATAAGAAAACAAAGTCTTAAGAATGTTTCACACCTCAATCAAGCAACATTTACAATTTATATCAATTATTTTAGGGAATAATACATAAATTTTATATTTAAACTTGATATTAGTGTTTAGTGTAATACATAAGGAGTATTAGCCTTTAAATCTCATTCACTATTTATTAATGAATTTTACAAAAAAGACCATAAATTTTATATTTTAAAATTTAATAACTATTTGTAATACATTAGGAACAAAATAGTTTTAGAAAAAACGTATATTATTGAAGATATATGCTTAGATTTTTGCAGTAAAAGTTTCTCAAATGCTCTCCTACACCATTCTCAAGACAAGTTATTCGTTCACTTAAGGGACCACGAAAATGAAAGTTTTCAAAACGTTTTGTGTTTTGTGTTGGCGGTCAAGTGCCGTTTTATTCAAGTGGCGCCCAAGTCAATTGGCGTCCACGTGGCGCCCACGTCATATGGTGCCCAAGTCTAATGGGGCCCAAGTCAAGTGTCGCCCAAGTCAAGTGTCGTCCAAGTCAAGTGTCGTCCAAGTCAAGTGTCGTCCAAGTCAAGTGGCACCCAAGTCAAGTGGCACCCAATTCAAGTGGCACCCAATTCAAGTGGCGCCCAAGTCAAATGGCGCCCAAGTAAAGTGGCACCCAAGTCAAGTGGCGCCCAAGTCAAGTGGCACCCAATTCAAGTGGCACCCAATTCAAGTGGCGCCCAAGTCAAATGGCGCCCAAGTAAAGTGGCACCCATGTCAAGTGGCGCCCAAGTCAAGTGTCGCCCAAGTCAAGTGTCGTCCAAGTCAAGTGTCGTCCAAGTCAAGTGTCGTCCAAGTCAAGTGTCGTCCAAGTCTAGTGTCGTCCAAGTCTAGTGTCGTCCAAGTCTAGTGTCGTCCAAGTCACATGCTCTGCGTGACATACCCTAGATACTCCACTCCTAAGGAAAACACTCTAGTTGGATTCCTCAAACACACTCTAATAGGAACAATCACGAATAGGATCCCTCAAACACACATTAATTGGAACATACCATAATTAGAGAGCACACTTATTGTAACTGTTATCATCCACTGGCAGTAAGGTACTACTTCTCAAGATATTAAAAAAAAAAATGGCCAAGCCCCCGTCACCGATCATATACAAAACAATGTATAATATTAATAGACTGCCCTGAACAAGAGCAACATGAATAATGGAAAATTCCACGTAAAAATATTCTCCAGCTGTGCAGAATAAACAATAAAAAAGGTGTGACAGATAATTACTTAACAAAGAACCAGTAAATTAATATTCCAAATAATGCAGGACTGATAGCACTGGCACCACCAAATTAATATAACAGAATAAAAAGGTTATTATAACACTGACGTAATTAAACCACCGGAGTGCCTGTTCAACTCAGCTGACTACCACCCCTTTAAATGACGATATGGCAATATACCATTCCACAATATATATCACGGTATATAAAACTTGTACTAAAATGTCACTATCAGTTGTGGGTCCCTAATAGCATGCCTGATATATTAATATTGTCCTGAACATGGATTAAAAGGTACTTATCCTGCCCTAGAAGACCCAGAGGAGGAGAATCTTCTAAGTTAATTACTTTCTCTGATTAGAATTATACAAATTAAAACTGGATATTGGCAGGCGAAAAAGGTACAAGAAATTCTTTATAATATTTCTAACAATTATATATGCTCATATTTTAACACATAATACAATGTTGGCTGCCTTAAACCTGGACACACATCCGGGAGGTGATGTCAAAGCACATCAATACTGCATCAGCTGACTTCAAACATGTCAACACCTCATCAGCTGACTTCAAACGTGTCAACACCTCATCAGCTGACTTCAAACGTGTCAACACCTCATCAGCTGACTTCAAACGTGTCAACACCTCATCAGCTGACTTCAAACGTGTCAACACCTCATCAGCTGACTTCAAACGTGTCAACACCTCATCAGCTGACTTCAAACGTGTCAACACCTCATCAGCTGACTTCAAACGTGTCAACACCTCATCAGCTGACTTCAAACGTGTCAACACCTCATCAGCTGACTTCAAACGTGTCAACACCTCATCAGCTGACTTCAAACGTGTCAACACCTCATCAGCTGACTTCAAACGTGTCAACACCTCATCAGCTGACTTCAAACGTGTCAACACCTCATCAGCTGACTTCAAACATGTCAACACCTCATCAGCTGACTTCAAACGTGTCAACCCCTCATCAGCTGACTTCAAACGTGTCAACACCTCATCAGCTGACTTCAAACGTGTCAACACCTCATCAGCTGACTTCAAACGTGTCAACACCTCATCAGCTGACTTCAAACGTGTCAACACCTCATCAGCTGACTTCAAACGTGTCAACACCTCATCAGCTGACTTCAAACGTGTCAACACCTCATCAGCTGACTTCAAACATGTCAACACCTCATCAGCTGACTTCAAACATGTCAACACCTCATCAGCTGACTTCAAACGTGTCAACACCTCATCAGCTGACTTCAAACATGTCAACACCTCATCAGCTGACTTCAAACATGTCAACACCGCATCAGCTGACTTCAAACATGTCAACACCTCATCAGCTGACCTCAAACATGTCAACACCTCATCAGCTGACCTCAAACATGTCAACACCTCATCAGCTGACCTCAAACATGTCAACACCTCATCAGCTGACCTCAAACACGTCAACACCGCATCAGCTGACCTCAAACATGTCAACACCTCATCAGCTGACCTCAAACACGTCAACACCGCATCAGCTGACCTCAAACATGTGGCTGGAAAATATAATCTTCATGTCTGTTTGTATAATCTGAGATATTATATAATGTTTACCTACACATATTGACTAATCTGCCGGTTGATCCAAAATAATCGATTTTCAAATGCGTCCATTTCACATTCAACAAGTAAATTAAATGATTAGCAACTTGTTAAGAAACAAAACTGTATACAACAAAATTTATTTCCATAATCTAATTAAACAGCCAAATGCAACATGCAACATGTAACATGCAAATTAATAATAAGTCTACCATGACTCGCTGTTAAGTCACAATATTAAAATACAGACGGTTAAGATAATTTGCAGGAGCAGGAACAGGCAACAATTATCTAACAACAAATTAACAAACTAACTAGAATTTAAGTAAATATCAACTATTCTGCATTAAAATAATCATGATAAAATAGTCACTATAAAATAATCATTGCTAATCATGCAACACTATGCAAAATAATTCTAAAGATTGTTTTAATGTAAGTGTAATAAGTGCATTAAAACCTAATTCTCGGATGTGACCTCCGATCCTTTCTCTTGGTACTGTAAACAATGATCAACATTGTATACAACACCTTGAGAAAGATAAAGGTTACAGTCGCAAATTTGGTTTTTAATACACTTATTCAGATATTGATGTCTTTCCTTCACCTTGACTCAAGCACTACGGCATTATAGTGAGTGTCTCCATTGTTTTAATATTTACTAACCTAATGCCAGGCATTACAAGAAGAGTGAGAACCAGGATCGATTTACGGCTGGAGAAAGAACAAATGGGCAGAGTTTTTTTAATTTGATGCCTCTTTTCAATTAACAGGACATAGGTACAGTCCCTTAGGTAATACGGGCTACATCTTGGGGATGTACTCGCCTAGTTGTGCTTGCGGGGGTTAAGCTCTGACTCTGGTCCCGCCTCTCAACTGTCAATCAACCGGTGAACAGGTTCCCGACTCTATTGGGCTCCATCATATCTACATTTGAAACCGTTTATGGAGTCCTCCGCCACATCACTGCCTTATGCAATAACGTCTTCCTCGCGGCTTCCAGTGTCGTGAGGAAGAGAGAAGAGTAAAAGGAGACATGATCATAACCTATAAAATTCTCAGAGGAATTGCCAGGGTAGATAACGATTAACTAGCACGGGTGGTACGCGAACTATAGGACACAGGTGGAAACTTAGTAACCAAATGAGTCACAGAGACATAGTTAGACACAAGATAAATTCTTATATATATATATATATATATATATATATATATATATATATATATATATATATATATATATATATATATATATATATATATATATATATATATATATGTCGTACCTAGTAGCCAGAACGCACTTCTCAGCCTACTATGCAAGGCCCGATTTGCCTAATAAGCCAAGTTTTCATGAATTAATTGCTTTTCGACTACCTAACCTACCTAACCTAACCTAACCTAACTTTTTCGGCTATCTAACCTAACCTAACCTATAAAGATAGGTTAGGTTAGGTTAGGTAGGGTTGGTTAGGTTCGATCATATATCTACGTTAATTTTAACTCCAATAAAAAAAAATTTACCTCATACATTATGAAATGGGTAGCTTTATCATTTCATAAGAAAACAATTAGAGAAAATATATTAATTCAGGAAAACTTGGCTTATTAGGCAAATCGGGCCTTGCATAGTAGGCCGAGAAGTGCATTCTGGCTACTAGGTACGACATATATATATATATTATATATATATATATATATATATGTACGTGTGTGTGTGTGTTTTTACCTAGTTGTATTCACCTAGCTGTGCTTGCGGGGGTTGAGCTCTGCTTTTTCGGCCCGCCTCTCAACTGTCAATCAACTGGTGTACAGATTCCTGAGCCCATTGGGCTCTATCATATCTACACTTGAAACTGTGTATGGAGTCAGCCTCCACCACATCACTTCCTAATGCATTCCATTTGTCAACCACTCTGACACTAAAAAAGTTCTTTCTAATATCTCTGTGGCTGATTTGGGCAGTCAGTTTCCACCTGTGTCCCCTTGTGCATGTGCCCCTTGTGTTAAATAGCCTTTTTTTATCTACCCTATCAGTTCCCTTCAGAATCTTGAATGTGGTGATCATGTCCCCCCTAACTCTTCTGTCTTTCTGCGAAGTGAGGTTTAATTCCCATAGTCTCTCCTCGTAGCTCATACCTCTTAGCTCGGGTACTAGTCTGGTGGCAAACCTTTGAACCTTTTCCAGTTTAGTCTTATCCTTGACTAGATATGGACTCTATGCTGGGGCTGCATACTCCAAGATTGGCCTGACATATGTGGTATACAAAGTTCTGAATGATTCTTTACACAAGTTCCTGAATGCCGTTCGTATATTAGCCAGCCTGGCATATGCCGCTGATGTTATCCGCTTGATATGGGCTGCAGGAGACAGGTCTGGGGTGATATCAACCCACAAGTCTTTTTCTTTCAATGACACCAGAAGAATTTCCTCTCCCAGATGATACCTTGTATCTGGCCTCCGGCTCCCTACACCTATCTTCATTACATTACATTTGGTTGGGTTCAACTCTAATAACCATTTGTTCGACCATTCCTTCAGCTTGTCTAGGTCTTCTTGAAGCCTCAAACAGTCCTCTTCTGTCTTAATCCTTCTCATAATTTTGGTATCGTCCGCATACATTGAGAGAAATGAATCTATACCCACCGGGAGATCATTTACATATATCAGAAGCAAGATAGGACCGAGTACAGAGCCCTGTGGTACTCCACTGGTGACTTCACTCCAATCGGAGGTCTCACCCCTCACCGTAACTCTCTGCTTCCTATTGCTTAGGTACTCCCTTATCCACTGGAGCACCTTACCTGCTACACCTGCCTGTCTCTCCAGCTTATGTACCAGCCTCTTATGCGGTACTGTGTCAAAGGCTTTCCGACAATCCAAGAAAATGCAGTCCGCCCAGCCCTCTCTTTCTTGCTTAATCTTTGTCACCTGGTCGTACAATTCTATTAAGCCAATCAGGCAAGATTTACCCTCCCTGAACCCATGTTGGCGATTTGTCACAAAGTCCCTTCTCTCCAGATGTGATATCAGGTTTTTTCTCACGATCTTCTCCATCACCTTGCATGGTATACAAGTCAAGGATACTGGCCTGTAGTTCAGTGCCTCCTGCCTGTTTGCCCTTTTTGTATATTGGGGCCACATTCGCCATCTTCTATATTTCTGGAAGGTCTCCCGTTTCCAGTGACCTACTATACACTATGGAGAATGGCAAGCAAAGTGCCTCTGCACACTCTTTCAGTACCCATGGCGAGATCCCGTCTGGACCAACAGGCTTTCTAACATCCAGATCTAGCAGGTGTCTCTTGACCTCTTCTCTCGTAATTTCGAACCCTTAAAAATGCCGCCTGGTTTACTTCCCTTTCTTCCCTTTACTTTCTTACTTCCCTTTTACTTCCCTTACAGTGACCTCACCTTGTTCTGTTGTGAAGACCTTCTGGAACCTCTTGTTGAGTTCTTCACACACCTCTTTGTCATTCTCTGTATACCTGTCCTCGCCTGTTCTAAGTTTCACTACCTGTTTTTTTGCTGTTATTTTCCTTCTGATGTGACTGTGGAGTAGCTTCGGTTCTGTCTTGGCTTTGTTTGCTATATCATTTTCATAACTTTTCTCTGCTTCTCTTCTCACCCTGACATACTCATTCCTGGTTCTCTGGTATCTCTCTCTGCTTTCTGGTGTTCTGTTATTCCGGAAGTTCCTCCACGCCCTTTTGTTCAGTTTCTTTGCTTCCATACATGACCTATTATACTATGGACTCTTCTTTTGCTTCTCTAATTTTTCATTTTGGGCCAGGATGTATCTGCTTTCTGCCTCCTGACACTTTTGGGTGACATAGTCCATCATAACTTGTACAGACTTAGCTCTGAGGTCTATGTCTCAAGGTATTTCCCTTAGGAAGCTTCTCATCTCCTCATAATTTCCCTTTCGGTATGCCAGCCTTTTGTTTCCTAGATTTTTTTTTTTTGGGGGGGGGGGGGGGATAATTCCTAGTGTTATGATCTCAGCCTGCAGGAAAAACGAGTCTCCCTTCTTGAGAGCTATTCATCAAGCTTGACCTGATTAGAAGGTCTAGCAAATATTGAGGTGATAACCCATATGTAAAATAGCTGGTTGGATATGATGAACAATTTAAGATTATGGGCAGTGAAGAAGAAAACAGATAAATGACTGGCTAGATGTGGACATTTTGCTGGAGGCGTGAGGCTCGCTTCTGGAGGGCTTTGACCTCACTTGAGGCCAGACATCGCAGGGGGAAAGCCGCGCTCCGTTGAGCTCCCGTCAGAAGGGAACCCCTAGTGATATATCTCGAAGAGAAGAGAAGTGTGCAGACGTACCAGCTGTGGAATCGAGCTGGGAACGTTGTGGTCTCAAGTCCTGGTCGACGAGGAGAGTATTAAACCACCCAGAGACATTTTCGTGGGCTGTGTGGAGCGCCCGGACGCCGTCAGAGGGATAGCGCCCTCGACTAGACAATCTGTGCTAAGCACGATATACGCCAGTTCATAGTGATTGCTTGTAGTTGGTCGTGTGCCCAGCGACAGTAGCAATGTTTATTGATAAGTTAGACATGTTTTAATAAGGCAGAAGGCCTGAAATAAGAGAGTGGAGAGGGAGGAACACGGAGCGACATCCGTCTCCTCTGAGCGCTGGCAGGCAAATGAGGGAGCCCGGCTCCTGACGGCAGATGACCCTCCCAGCGTAAGTGAGGACCGCCGCCGGGCGAGGTGGAGTATGGACCCGCCCAACGGGGAAGTCCACTCTCACAATATGTAGAGGACAGATAGAGGTTGGAGGCAAACATATTGTGTGATTATTTTTGTTTATGTGTTAAAGGGGAAACATTTTTATTGGAGTGTCGATGGGTTGCAGGTTTGTCTTTGGGGAAGAAGTTGCTGAGAACTTCGAAGCCAGCACAGATGAAGTAGTTGATGAGACTCCAAGGTAGTGCAACAGAGGACCTCGAGCTGTGAGGAGAA